AAGTGATATGCCGGGAAGGCAGTGTGAAGTCCAGGGAGAGGAGAGCAGTGTCCTCCCTCCCCAGCGGCAGCGTGATTTTTTGGGAATTGGGAGCCCAGTCTCCATTCCCCAGCGGCAGTATGATGCTTTGGGAATTGGGAGCCCAGTCTCCATTCCCCAGCGGCAGCACAGATCATTGGGAATTGGGAGCCCAGTCTCCATTCCCCAGCGGCAGAGTGTCCCACCGGGAATAGAGAGCCCAGTCTCCTTTCCCCAGCAGCAGGACTCTGTATTGGGAGCAGAGACAGTCAGTCTCCCTCCCCCGCGGCTGGAAGTATGTATGGGAGAGGAGCTTGTTACCCCCTCTCCCCAGCGGCAGCTTAATGTACCAGGGGGAGACAGTAAGCCCCACAACCGTGCAGATGGGACCGTAGTCTCTACACTGCCAGCACAGGGGGTAGGGACGGTCGGTCCTGCCCCCCAGCGACAGGGCTGTTTAGCCAAAGGGGAGACAGTCGGTCTCCCCCTCCAGCAGCAGAGATGGGTAACCAAAGGGGAGACGGTCGGTCTCCAGCAGCAGGACTGTGCATCTAAAGGGGAGACAGTCAGTCTCCAGCAGCAGCAGCAGAGCGGTGTATTTAAAGGGGAGACAGTCGGTCTCCCCCTCCAACAACCAGGCTTCCACCAGGCTACCCTCCCAGTAGCGCTGGCAACAGGGCAGAGTGCCGCTGGTCTCTGCCCACGCAGCAACCCACCAAGTCAGCGTACCCGTACCCAGCACAGCCGTGGTGAGGCACCTGGACATGGACAAGCTTCTCCTTTACCCAGGTGTAGTAACCATTTATTGTGGGTGGGCTGTGCTGTTGATTATTTGTTGTGGGTGGGCTGCTGGACTAACAAGGGCACTGACCGGCAGGAGGTCAGATACCCTGTTAGTCTGTTTGGAAAAGGGGAGAGATGTGACGAGACCAATCTCGCCACATTGCATTGGAGAAGCCTGGTTGCTCGCCTGCTGCCTTTGGACTATGGCCCCCTTTTAAAAGACTTTATTTTTGCCTGCAGAAAAGCTGTATTCGTGCTTTTCTGCCTGGGGTTCAGTAGATTTGTTTGAATGTGTTATACCCCAGATAGGAATCCCATGGAGCCCATTTGTATGAAACTGACTGTAAAGACTTTGGCTCCATGGCGATTAAACTGTATTCGTGTGGTCTGAGCGCCATTCACTTAATAATGTGCGCTCAGACCTGAGCTATCTGGGGATATGTGAAATGTCTGTGTGTTATGTGTAAAATGTGACTTTATGTATTTTAAAGTGTTTTGTGTCTTTTGCAACCATGTGCTTAATGGAGTCTTGTGTCTGTCCTGGGAGATAATTGAATTACTTATCTCCAGGATAGAAGACTCTGAAACTGGTTTGGGCCAGAAAGCCATGCTTCATTTAGTCACAAAGGACTTTTTACTAACTTTTGAACCCCTTGTCTGATTTGTGCCATTTTTGAATATGTTGTTCCCCTGAATGGATTGATTGAGAATATGTAATTTTATGTGAATGTGATGTATGGTTTTGGAGTTATGAAAGTTGGGTAGAAAGTATGTTTTAACTGTTTGTATAATTGAGTTTCCTCTCAGGATAAGGGGAGGGAATATGTGGGATGTAACTGTGATATGATTGGTTGTTTTATCCCTCCCTGTGGGTGGTCCTGTATTTGAAACACTGTAATAAAAACCAGGCTGGGTGTGCCAGCACCTCAGACCACTGCTTGACCCTCAACACGGAGCCTTGTCTCGTTCTTGGGGGATTCACTGTATGCTGTTAGAGACTGATTGCCAGGAGTGTAAGCTGTTCGTCTGCTTTTCCTGTTCGTCTGCTAGCAGCTATTTGGGAGGTTCCAGTTCGGGAGTTGGAGTGCTATTTTGTATCCAGTTCGTGAGTTTTGGTGTTCTGCAGTAGCTGTGCCTGGATCTCTGGAAAGGGGGCCGATCGCCTAAACGGTTTTTACCCCTTGTGTGCAAAACGGTCCGTTACAGAAGCGTTTTGGATCAGGGAGTTGGATACATTATCACCTAAAGGGCTGAACCAAGAATATGATTTGTTACCCTTAATCTGAAGATTTTTTGATTTTAAACAAAGATTATGCTTAATTATCATTTTTTATTTTTACAGGCTATTCTATGGCCTGGCTGGTTTGGGTTCCTCTCTCTTCTCACCCTCTTGAGAGACCTTCTTTAGATCATCTGCTGCTCCATATGAATTTCTACATATGCTGACTGATTACTTTGTGTTTGGGATCCTGCTTCTTTCCACATATCTCCTCACGTATAAGATGTTTATTATATTTATTATTATTAATCACTTGTAACTTTTTCATAAATGTATGAGTTTTATATTATTTATTGGATGGCCTGGAGTATTTTCCTTGTATATATTAATTCATCCAATGCATGATTTTGCACTTTATTGCACTTTGCTTCAATATACACTTTATTAATTATTGATGCACTTTATTCAATGCCTGGCACTTTATAATAATTGCATGTACATTTATTAGCACTTTTTTCATGTATGCACTATATTTGGTATGCATATTGGTCTTTTTAATAAAGATTCCTCTTTGGGTCCCTTTATGCAGCTATAGTAGATGTTTTGGATGAAACCTAGGTATCATATATATATATATATATATATATATATATCTTTTTTTATTCACATTTCACTTTTTGCACATACTGAGTCTTATATGTATTTCTCTATTGATACATGTTTAAAAAGCCTGGGAATATTAGTAGTACTGCGGGCAGATGCACACTATTGTGCGTCGTCCGTTGTCTTTGACGGGAGCTTTAGTTCCCGTGCGCATGCGCGTCTAGGTCTCTTTCGCACATGCGCGATTGGGTCTTTTTCGCACATGTGCGCGGGCGTTCAGATACCCAGTGCGGCCACCGTAGTGGAGATGTATTATGTGACGTGATCACGTACATTTACGTGGAATAGGCGGCCCGCTGTTCTTGATACCCTTAAGATCTGTTTTTTATTCCAGGTATTTCATATATTACTAATTGCATAATTTTGAGTAAAATGGTTAATTTATTTAAAAGACCTGTGTATGTATAATGGTTGATGTGTTTTTTTACAAAACATGGACTTCTTATATTTCTTTTGACTATGTTCTTTAGCCATCTACTTATTCATTCCCTACCATGTTTTTAATAAGGGTTTGGTATAGCAATGTATTATATTGATTGCATTACTTTTAACACATGTTTTGATGAATTGTTTAATTGTTATATTGATTTGATTTGATGGTTTGTAATTTGTGTATATATAAATGCAATATTTTTTTCACTGTGGTGCATGCTTGATTAAGACCTGGACAGGTCGAAACGTTGCAAATAAACCTGCCTGGATACAATCACAGTGAGTGCCTGAGCTAATTACAGGAGGTCCTGACGGTAAAAATAAAGACTTATAAAATTAAATTAAGTCCAGATAGCCATAAAACAATAAAAAATTAAATTAAAAAAACACAACATAAAAACAAATATAGTACAAAGAATAGCGGCAGCAATCTAACGTGTTTCGGATGTGCCATTCTCTTTCTTTGTTAAAGTTTAAATAGGGGCTTAAACAGAGGCTCGCAAATGTTACGAACAAGTGGTGTGCGTTCCACTGTGAACGGCTATCACAATTTCTGATTTTCCAACGCAGATGTTTGGAACGAGCGGCGTGCGTTCCACTCTGACCTACTACCATGATGTCTGATTTTTCTAATTATTCAAATAATATTTATAATGAAAAAAAAGGTACATCACTAAACACTTTATATATTCGAAACAGGTACGCACACACAAGACAATTGATTGTTTAATATGTGAAATGCCATAGGAGAGTCCCAAACTCCAACCCTCAATAAATATCAAGAAAGAAAAATGCAACACAGATATAATAAAATTAAAAACCTCTTATTATATAAAACAGAATAAGCCACAGGAAAGCAGTGAACAGCTATACCCAAAAGAGAGATCAAAAAGTGTTATACCTTTTGAAGCCTCAGTGGCAGCAAGCAGGTCTTAGGTAAAAGTAATACAACCGTGGGTTCAATACTACTGTATGTTTAAAACACAGGTGATAACCTGCTTGGTATAACCCACTACGCACCACATGCCTAACCAATGACATAGCCTTTTCTAACCGTAGCTTCCTGCCACAGGCTATTTCATTAAAATAAGAAGGTAGGGAGGCCTGACGCCGGAGCTGAACGGTCGCATGTAGGAGCAGCTCCCGGCGCAGATTCCAAAACGAGCACACAACAACCGGAATAATAAGCGGCACATACCCGGGTCACCTGGGGAAGGCACACAACATGTCCCAGCGCCCAAAAAACAAAGCTGGGAAGGCAGAGCGTGCCTCCTTTTCCGGCACGAAACTCGCGGCATCCAAGCAGCGCGAGGGAGAGGAGACTGCGCAAGATGGCGGCGACTTCGGACCGCGGGAAAACTCCCCCTCACCCAAATCATCCCCCACACGGCAGACAGAAGACCAGCCACCTACGATGGGAGGTATCCGTGCCCTAATGTCTGAATTTTCAGATAATATACAGAAAAGCATACAGCTGCAAATTCAGGCTCTAACTGCTGATTTACAGAAAGACATACATGAAATAGGAAACCGCACAGCTCAAGTGGAGTCCAAAATGGACGAACATGCAGAAGCACATAACAGCTTAGCAGACAAAGTCCAGGAATTGGACGACATTCTGGAAGTACACAGGCTAAAGCTAGCTGACATGGAGGATAGGGCAAGGCGGAACAATCTGCGGTTCAGAGGAATCCCAGAAACAATTACAAACGCCGAGCTCCAACATTATCTCTCAAAACTGCTCCAGAGCCTAGTACCAGAAATACACCCGGATCAACTATTAATCGACAGGGTGCACAGGCTGCGCAGACCGAAACACCTGCCGCAAACTGCAGAGAGAGATGTAATCGCTAGAATACACTTCTTCCACGCTAAAGATAAGATCATGCGGGCTAGCAGAAACCCAGGTATGCCGAACGAATACAACTCCATCAAAATCTTCGCGGATTTATCAGCGGACACTCTCCAATTCAGGAAATCAATGGCGCCGATCACCTCCACCCTGCGGGAGCATGACCTGAATTACAGATGGGGATTCCCTGCCAAACTTCTGATCTCCCACCAAGGGGCCATACACGCCATCACGACCCTGAAGCAAGGCGTCCAGAAACTAAGAGATTGGGGGCTTCCCCAACCGGCGACAGAACCAACTAAAACAAAAGTGCCCAAGATGTCACTGGAATGGACTGTCAAACGAAAGACTGCCCTTCCCCTGGAACACGCGTAACTATTCCATAACCACTGTGCAAGTTAAAATGCTAGAACTTTCAAGTTACAGGGCTATAGCTTAATGCTTACTTAGCCAAAATGTATTTGTTAATTATTGTTATACTTCAAACTACCTGACCTGCAACAAGCAGCAGTAATTGCTGGTTAGAATGCGGCGCTGCCCAATAAGCTTTTCTACTATTCCCCCACGGGGGCGCAGGCAAGATAACGGCACATACTAGCCATGATGCCATCCTATAGCGAGGCTGTGTTTAGAAGTTTATTGAGACTAACCCACTGTGAAGGCACATTTTAAAACATTGATGTCACCTTATAGCGAGGCTGTGTTTAGAAAATTATTAAGATCAGTTTAATGTTGTTCATGACATGTTAGTTTTGCAATTTGATGTTCAAATGCTCTTTTGGTTTCAAGTGGAGGCTTACTATGTGTAAAAACCTTATCACCACTACCCCCACTAGACAGGCCTATCTATTAGGCGAGTCTCGAGGCTCCACTCCTCGGAGCCAAATTGGGTGTGTCACCCACCAGTTTTTCCCCACCCACTTCCACCCTACCCATTCTCTCCCCCAGTCACGAACACAAAGTATGGCACAGCAGAACCGCCGCAGGCTTACCAAACTGACATACTGCAATGACCCAGCAGCACCAGTAGTAACCAAGCTCACGCTCCATAGCATCCCCTCCCTATATATATACAACCATGGTTAAACTAATAACGTATAATGTAAAAGGATTGAACTCCCCGGGTAAACGCAGGCTACTACTGCAAGATCTGAAAAACGAGGACATAGACATCGCGTGTATCCAGGAAACACACTTCACCAACACCCGTACCCCTGCACTCTACACAAAAATTTATCCAACACAATACCACGCTACTTCTGATAAAAAGACGAAGGGAGTCTCTATTCTCATACATAAATCCATAGCATTTCAAGAAAAAGTAGTCTCTATAGACCCCCAGGGAAGATATGTAATACTAGTGGGTCTCTTCAATAATGTCCAATATACATTGGCTTCTGTATATTTCCCCAAAACTGGCTCAGATTAATTCCTCAGACTCATCCTCAAAGAGATAGATAAGGTGAGACAGGGGGGATTGTTGATGTGCGGGGATTTTAACTTTATAATATCCCCGGACTTAGACTCCACAGCACTCCCAAGAGGCACCAGACGAGCAAATATAGTATCCACAGGCAAAAAACTGTCTAGACTGCTCACATTACATAACCTGTATGATAGCTGGAGAATACTCCACCCAAGAGAACGGGATTACTCCTTCCACTCCAAAGTACATAGCACCTACACCCGCATAGACACCTACTACGTAGACCAATCTACATTACCACAAGTAGCCAAATGTACAATGGGAGACATTACGTGGTCTGACCACGGCCCGGTGTCCCTGGATCTATATGATAAATATCAGTTCAAAGGTAGAGGGAACTGGAGACTAAACGAGTCCCTACTACAAGACAGTAACTTCGTGGAACAAATAAAGAATGACCTTAACAATTACTTTCAGACAAACTCAGGTGGGGAAACATCAGCCTCGACCACCTGGTCGGCCCATAAGGCCGTTGTTCGCGGTTTATTTATTAGACAATCCTCATATCTTAAAAAGCATAGACAAGCGACCTTAATGGAATACCAACGGCAATTAACACAATTAACTACCCAAAATAAAGGTGCCCCTTCTCGAGCCCTAGCACTACAAATCCAAAATCTGCTAGATAAAATCACCGAATTACAAGCGGTCAAAACCTCATACATGTTACACAAGCTCAAAGCGACCCACTACCACCACAGCGGGAAAGCCACCAAACTCCTAGCTAACAGGCTGAGAGCAAAGCTGGCAGCCACCAAAATAGCGCATATTCAAGACCCAGAAGGTAACAAAATACAAAACCCAATGGATATCACTCAGGAGTTCGCCAACTATTACTCCAGCCTCTATAATTTGGGCGAAAGACCAGATACCCCCCCCATCCAGGACAGTAACATCACGGAGTTTCTAACCCGTCTACCCCTCCCCAAAATAAACCACCACCAAATAGAACAATTACTCCAACCTATTACTCTATCAGAAGTACTCCAAACAATAAGGAACCTCCCCCCAGGAAAAACCCCAGGAGCAGACGGCCTACCAAACCTGTATTATAAAACTTTTGCAGACATATTAGGCCCTAAACTTGTCCAAATATTCCAAGCAGCTTCTGACTCGGGAGAACTCCCTCCTGAGATGCTACTAGCAACTATAGTTACCCTGCCAAAACCTGGGAAACCCCCGGACCAATGTAAAAATTTTAGACCTATCTCCTTATTAAATACAGACGCTAAGATATACGCAAAAATCCTGGCCTCCAGACTGGGTAAAATCCTGCCCTCAATCATAGACGATGACCAAACAGGGTTCGTGATGGGGAGACAGGGGTTAGACAATACACGAAAACTGTCCCTAATTATGGAAGAATTGAGAAGATCAGGCCAAGGTGGGCTACTGTTAGCTCTGGACGCTGAAAAAGCGTTTGACCGCCTAGGTTGGTCCTTCTTGAAACAAGTCTTATCGATATTTGGATTCCCACAACAGTTCATTCAACAAGTATTCGCCCTATATTCACACCCAAGGGCTCAGGTACTACAAGCAGGCTTCAAATCAGACCCCTTTCGCATTACAAACGGCACCCGACAGGGATGCCCTCTGTCCCCCCTGTTGTACGTACTGGCCCTGGAGCCCTTACTAATAGCCATTAGATCCCATCCAGACATTGAAGGCGTAAATTGGCACGGCCGCCAAATCAAGATTAGTGCATTTGCGGATGATATCCTTCTATATGTTTCCCATCCTGTTACCTCCCTACCACACATAATGCACCTTATCGAGGAATATGGTGGTCTCTCATACTACTCCTTAAACACTTCCAAAACACAAGCATTAGGGTTACGCCTAGATCCCCCAGCCCTCACACAGCTACGTAAAACCTACCAATTCGAATGGCGCACGAACGATATTAAATACCTAGGCCTGACGTTCACCAAAAAAGCTTCCGACATGTTCCCAACTAACTACACCAAAGTATGGAATGAGTGCCTGACCTTGATAAGGGGCTGGGAAAAATTGTTCCTTACTTGGACGGAACGAATTGTGGCTATTAAAATGTCGGTACTACCGAAACTACAATATGTGTTTCGGAACCTCCCGTTAAAGGTACCACAATCTTACTTTAAAACCATACAATCGAAGCTACTGCAGTTTACCTGGGGAGCAAAACGGGCGAGAATTTCTTGCAAACTACTATCCGCACCAGTGAAACACGGGGGCATGGCGTTTCCAAATGTAAAAGCCTACTATCAGGCGGCAGCCTTAACCCCTCTATTAACACATTTGGTGAGGAACAACCAACCACAATGGGTACACCTAGAGAACCTAGCTGTTAAGCCCTTTGCAATCCACATCCTGACATGGTTGCACAAATCAAACAGACCAACTACACCGTTACTACCATTACAAGTACAACTAGCGTTACAGATTTGGGACACGCATAGGAGGAAGTTTGAGACAGCCAACCCCCTCTCCATGGCAACTCCCATAGAAGCCATAACATACTGCATCCCAACATTTCACGCAATGCCGTGGAAGGACAAGGGAATCTCACACCTAGCTCAGGTCTTTGAATCAGGCAAGCTGATGGGTTTTGACCGTCTTAACACGATCTTTAACCTGCCACACACATCAAGCTATTCATACATCCAACTTAAATCCTTTCTACACACACGTAATAAAGATAGTAGAAATGAGACTACAATTGCCAGTGCGCTATCGACCTGGGAACAAACAGGCATCACAGGCAAACTACCCCAGACCTTCAAACCCTTATCTGGCTGCTACAGACTTATTCTGCCATACCAATCCCTTTCTGACTCCACTCCAGCACACCAATGGGAAATGGACCTCCAAACTCCCATCACTGAGAAACAGTGGTCTTCTATCACATCTTCCACTAGAAAATTGATCAAATCTGCTCCCCTTATAGAACAACACCAGAAAACAATATATCGGTGGTATATGGTGCCGCTACGTATACACAAACTGTATCCCACTGCGTCTCCGACGTGTTGGAGATGCAAACAAGAGAAAGGACTCGGTCCTCCACATTTGGTGGAAATGTCCACGCCTAATCAGGTATTGGGAAGACACAGGAAAAATCATTGCAGATACTACCACCATCCACCTACCCTTTGACCCTAAGACCTTTTTACTGTTAGATATACCCAGAGAAACACCCACACAAGCGAGAAAATTAATGTACCACGTCCTGCTAACCGCACAAAAACTGATCGCACGACTCTGGAAAACAACAGACACCCCTAGCATTCCTGCCCTCATCCAAGACATAGACAAGCAGGCTATTTACGAAACAAGCTTTTCCAAAGCGCAGAATAGCACCAAATGTAGTGGTAGCACATGGGAACAGTGGCGAGCTTGGAGAAACGCTAACGCACAACACGTACCCACCAATCACAACTTAAAATAACAACTCAACTAACCACAAAAGCTAAACGCAGGTAGACTGGGGGTGGCAATCGCCTCAAGAATGTGGGGAACACTATTACGTCTGAGAGTAGTATAAAGCAGACTGGGACCTAGGAATGGGTAGTAAGCCTAGATAGTCGGATCATTTGTACTGTGATGCATAAAGAGATCAACCGATTACTGTGCGCTGTTGAGCCGCCTCAAATGCCTGCAAATGTCAACTGTCAATTGTCAATTGTCAATTTTTATATATTCCTAACCGACATAGGATTCGATGTAAAGTGACTGTACCCCCCCCCTTTTCCCACCTCCCTTCTCTTTTTCTGTACCCAACCCCACCCACCCCTCGTTTTTTTTGATGTGAAAACCAATAAAATACAAATTTCAAAAAAAAAATAAGAAGGTAGGGGCGCAAACGACCTCACAAAAGAAAGACTGGGGTGGTAACACACCATAACCACAT